CAGCACACATGTCATCCTCGCACAACCATTGCACCAAGCACAACCTTGCACACACACACATCGTAGCACCATGCACCACACTTGCACACACTAGCGCATCTACGAGGTAAGGTAGCCTATCACGCACCTTGGCAGCCACATGTGAGCCGCTTGAGTAGTCCTGCTAGCCTAAGGGCGTGGCTTAGGCGATTTTGCCTAGATTTGCGTGCACTTGCCTCGGGATTTTAATTCCCGATTTATGTGTGATAAAAAAATTAATTCTAAATTTATTTTAGAACCAATTTAGACCAAAATGAAAATAAAACAAGTCCAACTTAATTAAATTCAATTTTAATAGTGCACAAGCATAAATTATTCAAGAACCATTCTTTAAATTAATTTAGGTCTATCTTGATGCTACAAAGTTGAAGGGCTATACTCATAATTAATTTTACCAAATATAAATTAATAATGAGGTTTGACAAAATTAAAGGGGTTGGAAAATTAAACCCCTTCCAACAGTAACTTGTGTGTTTTGAACAAGTTAATTAAATTTCAATAACAAGTTTTGAACTTTTAGGACTTTAATCAACTCAAATGATTAAATCCAAGAATTAGTTCAACATGGAATTTAGCAATCAAAGTTCCAACCAAACAAACAATTAAAGATCGGATCTTTAACATATTAGGGACTTTAAAATTACAAATTCACCATAAACATTCACACTTGAAGCAATTTATTTGCAAAAATGTGAAAATTTCAAGTTTATGTGAAAAATGAACTCAACAAATTAAGCACTAATTATGACTTCATAACATGCTTAACAAGGTTTATAATTGCAGTAGATTAGTGATGCAACCAACATTTAATCAGCATTTAACATGCTATAATTAATCAAGGTTTAAGATTTTAAATTTTTTCTTCAAAAACGAAAAACCCTTCGAAAATCATGTTTTTAGGTGGATTTTGGCTTATGGACAGTCTTCAAAGAGAGTCAAAAACAATTTAGAACATCGATTCCACCGAAAAAACACTATTTTAAAGTCGAAATCTGGGTTCGGAGGCCAAAATGAGTAAAATACGTGATCAAAACTAATTAAAACGAGCTTCTAATCTAATTAGAAAGCAAAACCAGAATCCATTTTAAATCACCTCAATTAATTATTCGTTACAATAATTAAAATGAGCGCGACTCCGATACCGCTGTTGGGTTTCGTAGTGTCCAACGCTACGCGGAAGAGAAACCCGCCCAAGACCCGCTTACTAATTAAAGCAACTAAACATGCAATCACATAATTAACAACATAAGAGAGAGAGAGAGAGAGCGAAAAGACATTCTTACCCTTGACGCGTGCTTCGCTCCTATAGAGCTCGGACTTAAAAGCCTTAGCTCCGCAAGCGCGAGAGCCTCCGACGGAGTCCAACCTCGAGACCCGACTCGAACGGCCTCTCCCTCGAAGGTTAGTCGGGGCTAGACCATGAAAAGACTAGAGTATTATGAACTTAAATGTTTTCTCACCTATAGGGAGATGCCTCATTGAGTTCAACTCAAGTGATTTTTCCCAAACCCAAAACTTGGGTATTTATAAAGAATGGAGACTTGATCTCCATTCTCCCATCAATGTGGGAGATTTGCAGTTTCCTCTATTTTATTTTAATCAAAAACAAAATAAAATGCAAGGCAGTCAACAAGCTCCAAGTGTCACATGGAGGGATAGAGTAGGTGAGGATCACCAAAGGGGGGGATCAAATAACCTTGCTCCCTAAGCCAAGCACCAACCCTTGGTCCCCACACAAAACCGGACCACCTCGCCACTTTGGCTAGCTACCAGCCTGCCTTGGCTGCCAAGGCTGCCAGCTGGTGCCTAGCACAAAGGCTGAGCTGTTGGCTATCCTGCCCATGCACATGCACAGCCAGCCAGTACACACAGCTAGCTAGCATACGCATGGGCTGCTTCCAGGTGCGTGCTCCTGTGCGAGTGGCGTGGTGCTTGGTGCTGCTCGCTAGAACACACGGACAACCTAGCATGCCTAGCACGCTGCTGCTCGGTGTGGCTTGCTAGCACACACACGCACAACCTAGCATGCCTACTACGCTACTGCTTGGTGCGTGATGTTGTAAGATAGGCGAGGACTAGGGGTGCTTGGTGCATGCCATTGCCTAGCACGCATAGCCCATAGCACAAGCACGCATAGCGAGCTGCGGTGTGTGTGCTATGTGCTGCCTGCTTGCGGTAGCGAGGCCCAGCAAGCACTTGTGTGCTGCTGGCCTTGCAACGCTTGCGGGCTGTGCTTAGCCATGCCCAGCATGATGCGATGGCTGGTGCTTCTATGCTAGCAACCACGCTAGCCCACGCATGCACAACCATAGCGCATGCACGCATGGCACGCATCTTACGATGCTAGTGCCATGCGATGTGCGTGTGCTAGGCGATGCTAGGCACGCATCGGATGGTGACCTTGCCTAGCCTAGCACTCGCATGGCTAGGCCAATGCGAGGCTACGGCTTGGCTAGAACTTGTCGCTTTCTTGATTCCACGTCTCGTCGAATTCTAAATTCGTCGCGACTTGTGACGCTTGGTCTCGACGCTCTAAACTCGATATCTGATGTCTTTGTTCGTAATACTCTAACGACTCATTTAATCCTTGGATTAATTCGTCATCTCGGATCGGTTACTCGATTGGGTGTGACCCGAAGGGTTTAGTCAAGATTAAGCTGTAATATTAATTACACATTAATATTACTGATTGGATGCGGCCTCCACCTACGCATTCGATCCCTTCACCTTACTGAAGGATTAGCCTTCTAATAATTCTGAACCTCTATCGGAATAATACACTTGTTGGAAGGACACCATTCCTTTCATTGACATATTCGAGAGAGAGGTTTTTTTTTCTTATATTCCGTCAACGTTGCAACAAGGGTGCATGGACAAATCTTTTTTCTGAAGCAGATGTGGAATGGATTACTTCATTTCTTAATATAAGTTCTATAACAATTAGCTCTAGTAGGTGTAGAGGGGTTCAACTTCCAGGATTGTGTCGTGTCACTTTCTACCTTCCTTGGAGATGTTTGAGGCAAGCAGGCCAACTTCAACGACTCCTTGAACTCTATGAGCTTCCAGCGTTACCATGCACTACCTATGTTATTGGTAGTGTGCAAGCTCTTATAGCATCATTGTGTGTACGACAATTTGCACAAATGTTCCCAACACTTGCAGTTCTTGAAGATGATGTTCCATCCGTGTTTTACACAACATGGTTGTTGGAGGACCTCAAGGATGATGCTTAAACAAATCCTTACAAGGGTTTTTTCCTATTATATTTCAGTTTTGTACTCGTATTTCCCTTGTGTGTATGTTTTTTTTTTCCAAAAGAAAAGACAATATCTGAAGGCATTGGTTTTTTAGGGATAAAAGTTTCTCTTAAGTGTGGTGTATGTGGTCGTTGTTTTTATGGTTCAAAAAAAGAGAAAAATGTAATTGTAATCTCGCCAAAAAGCGAGGGAGTTTGTGTTATGTTTGAATGAAATAAAAATGTCCATTTGTTTGGTGTATTCATATTTTGTTAGATATCGACTAGATCATGATCTTTTAATAAAATGAATTTTTCTATATGACTCTTAGGCATGCAATTCAAATATGAATGAAATCTAAACTCTAACATGATACACATATGCCAATCCAAAACCAGTAGGATTTTCATGGGTTTTTTTTTTTTTGTTTTTGTTTTTGTTTTTTTTTTCTGCGAATCTCATAAATATAGCATTGTATTGATGAAAATCAAGCATAATACTTTTTTAATTGATCAAGGTTGGTGACTGAACGAACTCATTTCCATCAAGATCCATTAATTTTACAACTCCTGCTAGGGTAAGGTGTTTAACTAGAAATGGACCTGACCAGTTTGGCTTAAATTTTCCACTTGGATCGTGAATTGGTTCTCGATTTTTTTTAATTACCAAGTCTCCATGAATATTCCTTTCCCTGACCTATTTAATAAAAGCCTGCACAATGTGTCTTTGATAGAGTTTAATATTATGAAGGGCTTGTAACCTTCGTTCACTTGCTAGGAAAAGTTCATCATATCGTTCTGTAAAACATTGTTATTCAGATATCTCACTTTCATTCATTACGCAGAGTGATTAAATCTCTGTCTCGACTGGAAGAAGTGGGTCCATTCCATATCAAAGAAGACGGAGTAGTCCTAGTTAGTGTTCAAATGGATATTCTATACCCCCAAAGTACATATGGAAGTTTATCGGGCCATTATCTAGCCTTATCTGTCATCTTGGCGATTATCGTCTTGATGGTTTTGTTAGCTGCTTCAATAGCTCCGTTGGTTTGAGGACGATACATCGATGATTGGTGATGCCTGATTTTGTACTTTTCAAGGGTCTTTTTAAGATGTCCTTCGAATAGCGAACCATTGTCGGAGATAATTTCAAAAGGTACCCCATACCGACATATGATGTTATTAATCACGAATTTTGAGACTTATTTCACCCCTAGATTTGAATATAATGACGCTACCACCTATTTCAAAAAATAGTCAACATGTACGCCAAAATATATTGATGCTCGTTCGAAGCTTTGGGATGTATTTGCCTCATAATATCTATGCCTCAACTGGAAAAGGGCCATGGTGAAGTAAAATTATTCAAACTAACAGGCAGCATGTAATTAAGATTTGCAAATATCTGACATTTTTTGCATGTTCGTACGAATTGGATACAATCACTTTCCAAGGTGGTCCAATAATACCATTCTCGAAGAATCTTTTGAGTAAGAATCCTTCAATTCATATGAGGTCCATATTCTCCCCCATGTACTTCTTCCATGATCCTTTGTGTCAGTTCCCAATCAATGCATAATTGCAAGCTTCCATCAAAACTTTTATGATATAGCAAACCTTTTAATGTCGTGAAATGAGAAGCTAGACTTCGAATAACCAACCGATCTTTCTTGTGGCTTCCCTCATGATACTCTCCATCGATTAAATACTTCTTAATATCAGTATACTAAGCATCCTCATTATCTTCCTTGGTTAACAGAGCAATTGTTGGTTCAAAATTAACCACCAGAATTTCTTTTTCTACAATCATTACCGACTTTACCTTTATATCATCATCCCAAGTCAAATTCACCGCAAGGTTTGCCAAAGCATCGGTGAAGCTGTTTTGCTCACGGGGGAGATGCTTGAACTCTATTTCTTCAAAGTATGGGATAAATTGCTGAAGATACTCTGTGTACATTTGCAACCTTTCGTCCCGAACTTTCCAAACTTTAATTGTCTGGGAAATTTTGAGATAAGAATCATCGTATACCATGAGATGTTTTGCACCAGCTCCTAAAGCAGCTTTAATTCCGTAGATGCAAGCTTCATATTCAATCGTGTTATTCGTCGTTGGGAAACTAAGTTTCATAGAGAATGGAATATGTACTCCATTGGGATCAATTAAAATACTCCTGTACCATTGCTCCTTCTGTTGGAGGCTTCGTCAAAGTGCATTTTCCATTGTGACGTACTAAGACAGATGATATTTTTATCTAGAAAATCACCATCAAATTCATCACCTGATATTGGTCCATCAGGTAATGCTTCAGATATAGCCCTCCCTTTGACAGAATTTTGGTTCACACACTTAATGTCAAATTTTGACAATATTTCATGCCACCTTGTTATTCTTTCACTTAAGATCGGTTTCTCAAAGATGTACTTGATTGGATCAAACCTCAAAACTAGATAAGTAGTATGTGCTTGTAGATAATGTCGAAGCTTCTTCATTACGTAAATAAGGGCAATGTAAGATCTTTCTAATGAAGTGTATCTAGTTTCATATTCAAGGAACTTATTGCTGAGGTAGTAGATAGCTATTTCCTTCCTGGTACCCTATTGGTATTGTGCTAAAAAAGCTCCCATGGCCGTTTCTGTGGTAGTAAGATATAATATTAAGGGTTGCCCCACGTTCGACGACATTAAAACCGGAGGATTGGAGAGGTATTCTTTCATTGAATCGAAAGAAGCTTGACATTCATCATTTTATTTTATAGGAACATTTCACTTAAGTAGCTTAAATATAGGTTCACACCGGGTTGTCAATTGAGATATGAACCTACTAATATATTGGATTCTAACAATAAATCCCCGAATCTCCTTTTTTGTTCTTGGTGGGGTAAGCTCTTGTATAGCCTTTACCTTGTCAGAGTCTACCTTAGTTCTGTGTTGACTCACAAAAAAACCCATAAGTTACTCTAAATACGCATTTTTTAGGATTTATCCTCAGATTATATTTTCTAATTCTATAAAAAAATGATTTTAAAGCATCGATATGTGTTTAATCACGATCATGACTTTTGACAATCATGTCATCAATATAGACCTCTACTATATCATGGATGAGCACATGCAAAATTGTCGTTACAGCCCGTTGATAGGTGGCCCCAACATTCTATAATCCGAAGGGCATTGCTCTATAACAAAAGGTCCCCCATGAGGTGATAAAAGAAGTTTTTAACATATCCTCTTCTGACATGAGTATCTGGTTGTACCCTGATAATCCGTCCTTGAATGAGAACATGGCGTGTCCGGCAGTGTTATCAACCAGAACAACAATATGGGGCAACGAAAAATAGTCTTTTGGTGATGCTGAATTCAAATCCCTAAAACCAATGTACACTTAGACCCTTCCGTCTTTCTTGGGATCTACCACCACATTTGCCAACCATTTTGGATGCTTGATTGGTTTAATGAAGTCAACATCAAGTTGCTTTTGAATTTCTTCTTTAACTTTGAGATTAACTGATGAGTGCAATTTATGGCACTCAATTGGCATTATTTAGGGATGATTTTAGTTGCTTTAATAGCGTTCTTTATTATTTTTCCCTTAGTTTTAGTCTTTTATTCTCTAGTTGGTCTCATTCTAGTCTTTTCTACCTTTTTCTTGTATTTTCGTGGATTTTATCATCTTTTCCCTTTTACTAGTTTCCCTTTCTTTATTTTCAGGTCTAAGGTGAAGTCCAAGGCCCTTCATGGTGATTCCTCGGGTTAGAATATGCTCAAGTGCAAGGTGGAAGCTCTCATATAGCTCACAAAGTAAAGGAAGGCTTACTCCAGGACTTGATGCTTGCGCCCTCATGTTGCGCTCACATGAAAGGATGGTGTTGAATCCACCGTATACTCATTTTGGGACTGCCATCCCCAATGACAATCAAGAGGAGCGCACCTCTTGCATTGAAGAAGGCACGAAGGAAGTTCCCTATTACAATGGCGCGGGCGCGCATTCATCGGGTGCGGGCGCGCAGGGTGCTGGCGCGGGCACGCCACTTGAGCTCTCTATTCCCTACGCCATTTTTTGCGACCGCGCATTCTGGAGAGAGCGCATGCTTGTACGTGTTTCTTTTGGACGTCCAATTTATTTCTCCTTAGTAAGTTATACTAAATATAGGTTTTCCTTCTATTTTTAGAGAGGAAAGGTTTCGGAGTTAGTTTGGGGAGCTCTTAGATTTTAGAGAGAGAAACTCTTGGATTTTGATTTGTACTTCAACATTTGCTTCAATCAAGTTTGGATTTCCTTCAATCAATGATAATTAGTGAGATTTTCTTCCTTTAATTCCTCTCCATTGCATGAATTTGCTTTTGGTTCATGACTGATATTTTGACTTGTTGATCTTTTGGGTAATAGTTTAATTGATTTTGAATTTCTCCTTGATTTAGTTTAAGATGATGATGTTTGCGATTTACTTAGTTTTGTTCTTCAATTTCAATATGCTTAGTGAGTAGACTCTTTGCTAGGGAGATGGTGAAACATGCATGAATGATGGATTATGCTAATTGATGGATTTTGATTGATTGAATGTTGTGATTAATTTAGTTGATAGAAGTGTGCATGTGGTTGAATTGTTAAGGAGTGATCAACCTTGATTTTCAAGCTAGATTGCATTGTGATTTCTAATGACACGAACCATTGATTTAAGGATTGCAATTATTGATTGAATTTGATTTGTGATTCATCTTGCTAGTCATTCATAGAGGAAACCTAGTTTGACTTCTAGGAGATAACCCTTTGAGTTCTCTTGATTGCAATTATTGTCCTCCTTTACAACATATGGTTGATTGATTTCCCCTTAATTGGCATAACCATCATGATTGTATGTGGATCCTATCCCTAGTGCTTTTGATATTGAATTCCCTCTTTTATTAATTTGTTTGAAACCATAGTTAGTCATATTCAACATCCTTCTTATTCTTCAAAATAGCTTGACCTTATGCAATAGTAACCCTCCTCCCATTCCACGTGGTTCGACCTTTGACTTACCTTATACTTGGTTTAGGATTGGTCGAGTGTTTATAAATTTGTTGATAAAGTTTTGAGAATTTAACGACGTGTTTAGACCCACTTATAAAATGGCGCCGTTGCCAAGGAATGGCATAGTTTTTTGCTATAGTTGTTGAGTGTATTTCATTATATTTGAAAAACACAAAAATATTTTTCCCTTTTTGGCTACATTTGTAGCCGTGCTACTAATAGTTTTTTTGAGATGGTATGCATAGAGCACGTGGTCGCTCTCTAGTGCCATTTGATCCGAAAATAGAGAGGACAATTACGAAGATAAGAGTTACTAGGCGTTCCTCAAGTGCTCTAAGACAAGAAGAAGAACAAGAAAGAATTGGAGAAAACCCAAGAGTGGCGTTGAAGGAATTGAGAATTCCGGGTGCATATAGGTTCGAGAGCGGGATTGCTTCACCTATAACACCGGCGAATGATTCTGAAATTAGACCGGAAAATGATTACTTTGATAGAGAGGCGACAATTTAGTGGGGACAAGCATGAGAGTCCTTTAAACCACCTCAAAGAATTTGAAAAGTATTGCGACACTATCAAAGTGAACGGAGTTTCACAAGAGTTCATTTCGTTTGAAGCTTTTCCCCTTTTCTCTCATAGGACGTGCCTTGGAATGGTTGGATAAAGAAGTCAAGCTAAACTCATTAAGGACATGGGATGTGGTTACCAAGGAATTTCTATCCCGGTTTTACTCCCAAAAGAAAACGGCGAAGGCAAGAGCACTTATCTAAAGTTTCAAGCAAAGATCCAATGAAGGCCTCTATGAAGCTTGGGAAAGGTACAAGGATTATCGAAGAGAGTGTCCTCACCACGGAATTCCTACCTACTGAATCATTCAAATCTTTTATGGTGTCCTAAGCCCTCAAGGGAAGTCTTGTCTTGATGCGGGAGCCAAAGGGCCCATAATGAACAAAACGGAAGAGGAAGTTCTGGACGTTATTGAAGATGTAGTGAGGCACTACATGGATTGGCAAGACGGTGAAAAATAGTCAACTAGCAGGAGTAACTCTTCGGTGTACTCGGTTGATCATCTTAATGCCATCAACAACTTGTCGTCACAAATCTCAAATTTAGGGAAGGAGATGACTTTTATCAAGGCCAAATTAGAGAGTGCTTCGTCTCTAGCACCTATGTTGGGTTTCCTAGAGTCCGACTCTACACGGAAGAGAAACCCGCCCAAGACCCGCCCACTAATTAAGGCAACTAAGCATGCAATCACAAATTAAACAACAATTAAGAGAGAGAAGGAAAATACAATCTTACCATTGGCGCGTGCTTCGCTCGAATCCCAAGCTCTTACTTCAAAACTAAAACCCCGCAAATGCGAAGGTCTCCGACGGCTCGTACCCACGAACCTAACCCGAACGGTCTAAGTCCCAAAGGTTAGGCGGGACCCAACCAATAAAAACTAGAGTTTTACAAACTTATGGTTTTCTCACATTTCTAAGGAGTGTTCTTCCCAAATCCCAAAACCTTGGTATTTACAGGGAAATGAACCTTGATTTCCCATTCACAATCAATGTGGGAGATTTGCAATTTTCCCATTTTATTTTTACCAAAACAAAAATAAAATTGCGATTCAATCAATAAGTTACAAGTGGCATAAGGAGGATGAGAGATTAGGTGAAGACCATTTCTAGGGGGGGGGGGATCATTGCCTTGCTCCCCAAGGCAGAGCTTCAACCCTTGGTCCCCATAAGTAAACTCAGCCCTCCCCTCCAAGTGGCTGGCTGATAACCTGCCTTGGCTGTCAAGGCTGCCAGCTGGTGCCTAGCACCAAGGCTGGGCAGCCTGGCCAGCCAACCAGCACACACGCACAGCCAGCCGGAAGCATACGTAGCCAGCCAGTGCATGCGTGCTGCTAGTGAGCCACGCATACTGGGCGCTGCTACTAGGCGAGGCATAGTATGCTGCTTGGTGCGTCAATGCTAGGCGCTGCTACACGAAGCACACGCACAACCCAGCATGCCCAGCACGCTGCTGACTGGTGCGTGGTGCTATGCTATGCTACAGCTGCCAGCGCCTATCATGCTAGCGAGGCCTAGCCTTGCGATGCTTGCTGGGCTAGCTGTGCGCAAGCGCCTAGCATGCTAGCAAGGCCTAGCCTTGCGATGTGTGCTGGGCTAGTTGTACGCCAGCGCCTAGCATGCTAGCAAGGCCTAGCCTTGAGATGGTTGCTGGGCTAGTTGTGCGCCAGTGCCTAGCATGCTAGCAAGGCCTAGCCTTGTGATGGCTGGGCGCAAGGCATGCTAGCACACACGCAAGGCTGCGATGCTTGCGCTAGCTAGCTAGCATGCATGGGCTTAACACGCCTAGCATGCTAGGCTTGTGGCTAGCATTGTGATGCACATGCTAGCTCGAGATAGCCTACTCCTCGCATGGCTAGGCCAATGCGAGGCTACGGCCTAACTCGAAATTGTAACTTGATTGATTTCACGTTTCGTTGAATTCTAAATTCGACTCGACTTACGACCCTCGGTCTCGATGCTCTAAGCTCGATATCCGACGACTTTGTTCGTAAAACTCTAACGACCCATCAAATCCTTCTGATTGATTTGTCGTCTCGGATCGGTCATTCGATTGGGTTCGAATCGAAGGGTTCAGTCAATATTAAGCTGTAATATTAATTGTACATTACTATTTTTGATCGGAAGCGGCCTCCGCCTAGGCATTCCGATCACTTGACCTTACTGAAGAATTAGCTTTCTAATAATTCTGAACCCTCTACCGGAATAATACACTAGTTGGAAGGACACCATTCCTTTCAACCTATTCTTCCCTCCCAATTTAAGGGGAGAAGTACATCTTCTAACTCTAATTCCCCTTCCTCCTCTAATAACATTCCAAGTGGATGCTTGTTTTGTGATGTATGTGGTTCATATGATCATGATGCTTTTAATTTCCCTCATGCTTTTTCGGATGGATGTGATGATTTTGATTGTAATGAGAATGAGCATGTGAATTCCGTGTCTAATAATAACAATGGTCCAAAGTTTGATAACCAAAGAGGCAATTGGATTAGGAACTATTACAACCAAGGCGATTTTGACAATTATAACCAAGGTGGTGGTTACAGGAACCATGGAAACAAAGGTTTCTGAGTTAACTATAACCATCAAGGTTATAGTAGCCAAAATCAAAGCCAAGGTTATGGTCATCATAATCAAGGTTATGGTAACCATAATCAAAGCTATGGCAAAAATAAAAATAGGGGTAACTTTCAAAACAATGCTCAAAGGGGTCCCCCACCCGGTTTTGTTCCAAAGACCCAAGGTCAAGGTGATAATTCTTATGCTCAACCATCTTCTTCTAGGTCTAATTTGGAGGAAATCATTGAAATTCAAACCAAATTGTTGAACACATACATGTCGGTTAGTGAACCAAATATCCAAATTAGTTAGTTCTTTGAAAGACAATGCAAGCCATTCTTTTTTACCTTCCCAAGGTCTTGACCTCAAGGAACCGGTTTATTCTTTCACCACTAAAAGTGGCAAAGTGCTAGAGGAGAGAGTTTCTAAAAGGAGTCAAGAGAAGGAAAAGGTGAGTGACTCATTTAGTGATGATGAGCATGATGTGCCTAGCAAGAACAGTAAGAGTTCTAATGAGAATGGCAAGGAGAAAGAGATAATACAAGATGAGGTTATCAAACCCAAACTTCCCTACCCCCAAAAGTTCATGAGGCACAAATTGGATGAACAATTCAGGAAATTCATCGAGATGCTTAAGCAAATTCATCTTTCGATTCCTTTCATCGATGTTTTTGTAACGTTTCGTAGTGACCCGACACTACGTGGAAAGAAACCCACCAAAACCCGCCCCTTAATTAAAGCAATTAACCAGCATAATAAACTTAATCAAACAAGATTAAGAACAAGAATTATACCTTTGACGCGTGCTTCGCTCCCAAAGAGCTCTTACTTCAAAACCCCGAAAAGACGAGATCTCCGACGGATCGTACCCTCGACCCGACCCGAGCGTCCTAAGTCTAGAAGGTTAGTCAAGACCCGGACAAAATAACTATGAGTTTTACGAATCAAAGGTTTACTCTTTCTTAGAGTTGCCTTTTTAAATCCACTCAAGGTTGTTCATTTCCCAATACCCAAGCTTAGTATTTATAGGGAAATGAACCCTTGAACTTCATTCCCCAACCAATGTAGGAGAATGAATAATTTTGCTAATTAATTTATTTCTAAAATAAATTAATAAATAAATCCAATCACAATGCAACAAGTGTCAAAGGGAGAGAGAAGGTTAGGTGAGGACCATGGAGGGGTAGGGGGGACCATTGCCTTGCTCCCCAAGGCTTTCCCAAAGCCTTGGTCCCCACCCTCACAAAACCACCTCACTTAAAAGGGGTGCTGGGCTGCTGCCAGCTAGCACGCCAGCTAGCATGTGCCAGCCAGCCCAGCCTAGCTAGCACCAGCCCATCAGCAGCCATCGCATCCCAGCCAAGCAGCGCTGCTTGGTGCTGGGCGATGCTTGGCGCTGTTGCGTGCCAGTGCTAGGCGCTGGTGCTGCCCCTGGCATCCCACGCACCACATGCATCCACGCTTCACCCTTCGCACATGCTCGCACACCCAGCATGCGTGCTGCTAGCGAGCCACGCATGCTGGTACCCTTTGCCTCGCACACCACGCACACACCTTTGCAGCATCTCTCGCACACGCACGCCATCGCATCACACAGCAGCCTTGGTGCGTGGTGATGATGGGCTGCTATGCGTGGCCTAGCACTATGCTGGCGCCCAGGCCCTCGCATATGCATGATGCGATGCTTGGTGCTGCCATGCAAAGGCTAGCACACAAGCCAGCACTCATGCTGCGCCAGTGCTAGGCAGGCACCCATGCTAGCACTTGGTGCCTTCGATGGTGCTGCCATGCCAGGCACACACGCATGCAGTACCTAGTGCCTGCGATGGTGCGCCTGGTGCTTGCGATGGGTTGCTAGGTGCGCTTGGTACCTGCGATGGCTTGCTAGGTGCGCCTATTGCTTGCGATAGGCTGCCAGGCCGCGCCTAGGCTGCGATAGTGCCTAGCACACCATGGTGCGCCTAGGCTTGCGACGAGCTAGCCTAGCCTAGCTACGACCACGCTCATACTTGTTGCTGGTGATTTTGCGACGTTCGGTCTCGACGCCCTAGGCTCGATTTTCGACGTCTATATTCGTAAAACTCTGCTGACTCATTAAATCCTTTCGGATTAATTCGTCGTATCGGATCGGTGATTCAATTGGGTTCGACCCGAAGGGTTCAGTTAAGATTAAGATGTAATATCAATTGTACCTCGATATTACTGATCGGAAGCAGCCTCCACCTAGGCATTCCGATCACTTGACCTTATTGAAGAATTAGCTCTGTAATAATTCTGAACCCTCTATCGGAAGAATACACTTGTTGGAAGGACACCATTCCTTTCAGTTTTGTAACAAATGTCAAACTATTCTAAGTTCCTTAAGGAAATATTTAGTGGCAAGAGAGAGTGCAATGTGGTTGATTCGGTGAGTGTTGAGGAATGTTGTAGTGCTCTTATCCATGATGACCTACCCCCAAAGATAAAAGACCTGGGGAATATCTCCATCCCTTGCAATATTAATGGAAAATTGTTCCAAAATGCTCTTTATGATCTTGGTGCTAGTGTTAGCATCATGCCATATTCCGTCTTCAAGAAGCTTAGGTTAGGTGAGCTCCTCCCAACCAACATGGCCCTACAATTGGCCGACCGTTCTATTAAGTTCCCCAAGGGTAGAGTTGAGGATATCCCCCTCAAGATAGGAGAATTCAGTATCCCCGTTGACTTCATTGTGCTAGAGATTGCGGAAGATGACAATATTCCTATCATTTTAGGGAGACCATTCTTAGCCACTTTGGGGGCTTTGATTGATGTGAAGGGTGGTCTTATTACTTAGTGTGTTGGTAATGATAAGTCAAGTTTTAAACTCAAGTCGATGCATAAGTCTCTATCCTATGTGCAAGGAATTATGTGCATTAATTCATTTCCCTTGAATGATGATGCTTACATGTTTGTGTCTTCTACTAATGATATGCTTATATCTTGTGATGATATTCCTAAATGTGTTGAAAGCAAGATTGTTAGTGAAGAAGTTAAGGAGCCCTCAAAGCTTAAGAATGAGTTTGAAATGCCTTCTTGGTTTGAGCTTTCTTTGAAGGATGACGAGAATAGTTTTTCAAGTGTTGGTCATGTGGAGCTCCAAACTCCAAGGAAGAAGAAATCAAGGAAGAAAAAGAGAGTTCCCAAGAAAACGAAAGAGAAATTGAAGCATAACAAGTTTGATCCGGTTTCTATGATTCAAGATGATATGTCTCGTGATGTGATTTTTCCCAAGATTAATAATGACTTTACCCTCTCCACCACTTTGGACAAGGTGGTCTTCTTTGACTCTCCGTGATTTGGAGGGCAGGTCAAGCTAGGGACCTTAAATTAGCGCTTCCCGAGAGGCAACCCGACCTTCTAACTTTCTTTTCTCATTACTTGATTTCATTTTGAAGTTACTAATATGTATTTTGAGTATAGTTTGTTTTCATTTCTTTTCCTTATCTTGTCTTGTAGATCAAATGTAGATTTCTTAGAGCTACGTGGAGGTGTGAGCTCCCCTTTGCTTCTTTTCTATGCTTAGCTTGGATCCTTGGTGAGATTTTTCTATTTTCCCTTCTTTATTTTCTTTCATTGGTTGCTTTAGGATAGTTTTAGCTTAGGAGGAGTTGAACGGTTCGAGGATGTATGGTATTAACACTTAGTGTGTTTGGGATCTTTGACATTGTGGTCAAACGATCATTGTTTGTCGATTGGGATTTACTTGCACATGCTTATGTCCTTTTAGCTTCTCACTCCTTCTTTATTTCTCTTTTTTCTTTTAAGAAACCTTAATCAAGGTAGTTTTTTCAAAATGTGTTTTTTTATCGCTCTTTGTTTGGACAGTTAACATTGGTCTTGTGTATTTGAATGATTTCTTTCTTTGTGGTACATGTGTGCATGATTTGGAGTGTTAGTGGTTGATTCTAGGATATTGCATGCTAAGGTAGCCTGTCTAAGAACTTTAGGGTCCATGAAGCCTTAGTTCACTAAAAGTGGTAAGATGGTGTTGCTTTTCATAGTGGATTTGTTACCTTTGGGTTAGTATTTGTTTTAAAAGATCCATTGAGAGGTATATTGTTCAAGCCTTCATCATCTTTGTTGAGCGGCGTTTTGGATCCTTGGCTATGCATATTTTAATCTTTGGTTTGTCCACTAGCTCCCGAGATCGAGACCGAGCCACTTTAGGGGAGGAAAAAGGCTTTTTTCATGTTCTTTTGTGTTCCTTTTATTTAGTTACTTTCCTGTTTTTCTTTTACATTCACCCTCTTTCTACCTCTTTGAGCTTACTTCCATTTATTCGGTTACTAGCCACATTACAAGCCTATTGACCTTTACCCTTAGTTTGAATTTGAAGCTTATTTTGGTTGGACACTCGTTTGTCAATAGTTTGAATTTATGGCGGTTGAGTTCGAATGTATGGAAAGTTTGTGATATATATGCAAGAAGAACAAGAAGTGTGAAATAAAGGGTGCATAATGGTTATTTTTGAGTGTTATACAAGTAAAAAAAAAGTTATAGTTCAATAAGTGTGAAATGTCATGAATTACACCAATGATATCATTGTTATGATCGTTTTCCGAGTTTAAGCATTAAGGATAATGCTTTGTTTAAGCTTGGGGGAGCTGGGGAGAGTTGCTTTTCTTTTAAGAGTTAAAGTTTGGTGTATTTGTTTAATAAGCTTGGGGGAGATGTAATTTTTTTTTATTTGATAATTGGTGACTTCTTAAGTTTGTTTTGGAGAGATGGCCACTCTTTCGCTTCGCTTAGGAATTACCACCAAATTTTCTATTTTTCACCCACCTATACCTTAACCCATGACATTACAACCTTTCAAAGTCCTTTAGACCTTAGAGGGTTGAGTCACAAGTTGGGGGAGGGAGATGGTTTTCAAGCCTATAGAGAGGAATGTGTATAGCTAAGACGTTGGTATAACCTTCTCATGTTTTTCATTTCCTTATATTTTTCCGGTTCCTTCGAGGAATCATGAGGAGCTAACTCAAGGGTTGATTTGAAGCTAGTGGAGAGAACGCGGTAAGACTAGTGCGGACAAGGGTGGATTGAGTCTCCTATAGTTCTCTATTCTTAGTATGTTCTATGGTTCAATCAACCATTGACATTTTATAACATGCATACATATATTGTCTAAGACGTCTCTCATTCATTGTTATTTGCTTCCTTTTCAATTGTCCAACTCAAGAGCTCGTTTCGTTTTTGATTTCTTGATTTTTATTGCTTTGCCTTGACTTGGGTTACTAGAGTTATGGGTTAAACTCTTTGGAAAACCTAACGAGACCTCACTCTTCCTCAATGGCAACTTTAGGGTTTTAAGGGCTTGTTGTAGCTAAAAACAAAACCGTGATTCCTACGAAAGTGAGTTAGTGTATATTCTTGTCCCCTTCTTTTCCTTTTCCTTTATTTAAATAAATCTTTCATCCTACTCCTACTTTCTTTTGTTTTTGCTCGAAGACGAGCAAAAGTTTAGCTTGGGGGAGTTTGATGAGTGCCGTTGATGGCACTCAAATGGCTTTATTTTCGGATGATTTTAGTTTCTTTAATTACTTTCTTTATGCTTTTTCCCTTAGTTTTAGTCTTTTATTCTCTAGCTGGTCTCATTCTAGTCTATTATACCTTTTTCTTGTTTTTTCGTGGATTTTATCATCTTATCCCTTTTACTTGTTTTCCTTTCTTTATTTTCAGATCTAAGGTGAAGTCCAAGGCCCTTTATGGTGATTCTTCAGGTTAGAAGATGCTCAAGTGCAAGGTGGAAGCTCTCATATAGCTCACAAAGCAAGGGATGTCTTACTCCAAGACTTGATGCTTGCGCCCTCATGCTGCGCTCACATGAAAGTATGGTGTTGAACCCACAATAAACTCCTTTTGGGACTTCCATCCCCAATGACGATCAAGAGGAGCGCACCTCATGCATTGAAGAACGCACGGAAGAAGTACCCTGTTACAGTGGCGCGGGCACGCCACCTGATCTTTCTGTCCCTACCCCATTATTTGGGACCGCGCATTCCGGAGAGAGGGTGTGCCTGTATGTGTTTCTTTTGGACGTCCACTTTATTTCTCCTTAGTTAGTTATACAATATATAGGTTTTCCTTCTATTTTTAGAAAGGGAAGTTTTTGGAGTTATTTTGGGGAGCTCTTAGATTTTAGAGAGATAAACTCTTGGATTTTGATTTGTACTTCAACATTTGCTTCAATCAAGTTTGGTTTTCCTTCAATCGATGATAATTAGTGAGATTTTCTTCCTTTAATTCCTCTCCATTGCTTGAATTTGCTTTTGGTTCATGATTGATTGTTTGACTTGTTGATCTTTTGGGTAATAGTTTGATTGATTTTGAATTTCTCCTTGATTTAGTTTAAGATGATGATGTTTGCGATTTACTTAGAATTGTGCATGTGGTTGAATTGTTAAGGAGTGATGAACCTTGATTTTCAAGCTAGATCGCATTGTGATTTCTAATGACCCGAACCATTGATTTAGGGATTGCAATTATTGATTGTATTTGGTTTGTGATTCTTCTTGCTAGTCATTTATAGAGGAAACCTAGTTTGACTTCTAGGAGATAACCCTTTGATTCTCTTGATTGCATTTACTGTCCTCCTTTACAACATTTGGTTAATTGATTTCCCCTTAATTGTCATAACCATCATGATTGTATGTGGATCCTATCCCTTGTACTTTTGATATTGAATTCCTTCTTTAGTCTAGTTTTTTGAGACCATAGTTAGTCATTTTGAACATCCTTCTTATTCTTCGTAATAGCTTGACCTTAGGCTATGGTAACCGTCCTCCCATTCCTCGTGGTTTAGGATTGGTCGAGTGTTTATAAATTTGTTGATAAGGTTTTAAGAATTTAACAACGCATTTAGACCCACTTATCAAATGGCGAAGTTTGGTTTCATTCTACGAAGCTTTTGTTGCTTTAACTTACTATTGGGGTAGAGAGGTGTAATACCCCTCATGATTTCTTTAAAAGGATTTAATATACTACTCATACTAACAAGGTGCATCTTCCTTTTAGCGAGCTCATATGCTAAGATACTCGACAGTTAAGCGTGCTTGGCTGGGTGTAGCCTTGGGATGGGTGACCTCCTTGGAAGTTTTCTTGGGGTGCGCATGAGTGAGTACAAAATGCGCCGGAAGGACTTGTGTTGGTCTGTGATGACAGTTGTTGGTCCTTGATGCGCATTTCGTGACAATAGGCCCCTCCCTAATTTGTTTGGGGTCGGGGTGTTATAAGAGGTATACGATGTTTAGTAATATCATTATTAACACCAGGCATATCAGCATAAGTCCATGCAAACACATCAACATATTCTTTTAATTTCTTGTACGCAAACATGTTTATAAAAAACTCTTTCGATATCTTCATGATATGAGATACTGGGCAGTGTATGGATAAATGATTAGCTAGATGACGAGCTATCAGCTTTATAGTCGTCTGAGGTTGAGGATCGAAAGGTATGCGGTTTAGAGAAAGATAAATATTGTTGATTATTTATAAGGAACTATTCTTGAATTTTTGGTTGGATATTGTTTTCAACTTTTGTTTCTGTTCGGGTGATCAGAGCAGTGGTATCGAATTGGGCTTCATAATAAAAAAAATTGGTGAAAATAGATGTCTTAAAACACCTTGCTTCAAATGGTCGGCCCAATCAATATCTTCTTTAAGTGTTGGTTTTTTCTTAAACCATTTCTTAATAAATTCCTCATTCCTTGTCTCTACAAAGAAAATCTCTAAACCAGGGAGATTTGTTCTTTATCCAAGTCATACCATGGTTCGGGAAACTCGTAAAATGGC